TCAAAACAATAGCAGGAGTCAGATCGCACCCCTAATCCCCCAGTCAGTGTGTGCCCTGCAATTACACGAGCGCTAACTCCAACCCTTTCCCTCCGGTAAACGGCACGTAAATATATCGATTCAATTCCGTTTCAGCGGTGACCATCCCCCATACCCTTTCGGACGGTCTCCTGCGCGCCCTTCTATAAAAATTTATCGTCTGGTAAATTGTTTCGCGCGGCGTGTTCGCGATTCCACGCAAAACGGACGAGAAGTACGCGCGTGCACGTTACGCGCCGGCATTTCCAGCTGCAACGGAAACGTCGATTCGAGGGGTTGAAAGGGGGTGAAAGGAGCAGGAGAGGTGGAGAGGATAGGGGGCAGAGGGACCGAAGTGACCCGTAGCTGCTCTAAACCTGTCCGACGGGATGTTAATTAACAAAAAGTCATTAAACTTTTCACGGTGAGCGGAACGAAAGACCGTGGACCTGTCGCTTCGCCTAGGATCGATGCACCCTCTTTTATTTTCCTACTTTCAGCGTTTATTGTTCTACCTTTTTCTGCTTTCTCGAACCAAGCCGCTGAGTTCTTCGTATGGTGAAGCGAAGGTCGAGAGGACTGACGTTTTGCATTGTGTATTTTGTGTTCTTTTTTTTCTTGTGCTTTGCTTTGGAAACCTACGAGCGTTCGTTAGATTCGGATTTTTTAGGCAATGGTAGAATTTGAGATGCTTCGAAGCTCCTATTTTCACATGAAATTCGCACTTCTATAAACGTAATTAAACAATTGAACGCAAATAGAGATTTGTTTCAGACTTTCCTTAACTTCCCACATCTACGTCTTTGTATATGAACTGTACAGATGAATCAATACAAAGAATGAAATTTCCTCACCTTGTCTCGACGATACTATAAAATACCCTCCAAGAATGTACTCTGTCTCGGTTTCCACAGTGTGAAATTTAAACAATAAACTACAAACCAAAGAAGATAGAAAACATCCTATGACAATAAATCACCCTAATCTTTCTCCAAAATATAACTTCCTTACCCGAAAATTCAACGTTTCGCGTAAATCCTCTACACGAATTCAAACAGCAATTAACACATGACTTCCCATATCGAAGTTGCAGGCATCGTAGAAGAGTTGGCTTTATCAATTCCATGAACTCCCGGGGCAATTACAGGGGCAGCGGAACGTCGGCCAGATATCGTGTTTCTTTTGACGCGTATCGTCCAAGAAACTTTTTCCCAGGCCTTGTGTAGCGGTAAATTCGAGCCTCCAACCCCCTTTTCGCAACGTTTAAGCGAGAATGGGCCGAAACGGTCGCGGAATTGCACCGCACGGCATAACGAGTTCAAGTGCTGCAGTCCATTGGTCGTGGCCGGGGCTGCGAGCAGCCAGACGATTCGTACGACACGGCGATAATGACAAGCATAACCATTACTGACCCGAGGTCGGTAAACGGTAACGGGCAGGGGGTAGCTTTTCGGCCTCGGATATCGTGGCGGCCGGCCAGATAAAAATCACTCGTCTAGAAGATTAAATAATAAATCACCCTCGCAGCGCTGCCCGTCTGAGTTCGTTTGCGCTCCGGTTGCAACGCCAATTAAATGTTTTCTCTTAACGATACGGGCAGGGAGTCTTCTTCCAAAGTCGAGCTTTCGGTCTCTTCTGTTTCCTGGAACTGCGTTCTTTTCCTTTTTCTTTATTTATTTATCCTGTTTTTTTTTTTTTTTTTTTTTTGAAATATTGAAAGTGAAGTGGTGCTTGCATGGTGCTATTACACTGTTACGTTCGGCATTGAAGTACTTTTGAAGTTTATTCATTATTCGTGGATTGGGACTTCGATAAAATACGCGATGCTAAGTCTCGTAATATTAAATTCTAGTTTTAAGTAAGTTTTAATCGATAGGCAGTGTAAGTAAAGTATAACAGTTGGTACATAGTTTGTAGGGATATTCTAGCAAAAGTGTGTGTTTCCAAACGTGCGACAGTTAGTTTTTAGTTAGCTCCGACATAACACGATTTTCGTTGGGTTTCAGAAAATTGGCGTTCTATGATCGAAAAAGAAATACATCACAAGCATCGATGGTCACATACCTCGAATAGACATTTAGATTAAATTTCCTATAACTTATACACCCTATCTTTGCAACCCTAAACAAGAACAGACCTAAAAGCCATTTCAATCCAATAAGACACAATTCATTACCCATTCGATCTCTTGAACGACCCTCGAGCCTATTTCCAAGCACACGAAACCCAGCCTTTAACCATTGTAAAAATGTTTCAATTCCGTAAGACGGCGCTCATTGCTCCGGAACTCAATTAATTTCGATACGCAGCGAGACATTCGTGGAACGCGGTGGTTCCGCCACCCCCATGGCCTAGTCGACCGCGGTTCGAACCACGGCGGTGCAAAAGACCTAAACACCGCAAACCCAAACGCTCACTAATTTTCTGTTTAGTCGTAAAATAAATTCTCGACGTTGGGGTCGGGTGGGATGGAAAGTAGGTGGGGGGAGAGGATAGCAACGAGTTCGAACCGTGGAGAATGCTCTCTCCACCGACGTATTTTCCACCCTTGGTGTAAGGGTGAAGGTGCCGATGCCAGCATTTACCGGGGGCCGAGGCAAAATTTGGAAGCAGAAGTAATCGAATTTGTTGGCGTCGTTTAATGAGAGCCGCACAATAGTTGTGTCTGTATAATTGGTACACACCCCCGTCGCTACGAGACCCGAACCCACCCCCTCGGTCCTCCATGGCCTTTTCCGACACTCTAACTGCTCCACCGATGCAGCCGTCAGCGAACAGAGAAAGGGAAAAGGGGATCCTACGGCGTAACTATTTGGCTCGAGTAGCTTCGCGAGAGACCGCATACAGTGGTTCTCGATATCTCCTCATACTCGATCCTCGTTACAGTAGATGTAGCGGATGAGCGTATCGTTTGACTGGTGATCTTGTACGTGTTTGCTTTTATTATAATTTCATTTTATATTATATAATTATGTTATATATTTATTATAATTTTGGAAATAAGTCATTTAATTCATGTACACTGTGTGTAAATTAGTGTAGGATATTATTTATGTACACACGATTTATAGAAATAGTGGAACTAGTAGCTACGACTGTCTGATCATTGCTGATTGAATGTATTTATCTGAATGTGCACTTCCATTATGTAAGGATTATACTGTAAGAGAAAAATCGTAGATGGACGAAATCAATGAAGTGCTATTATATGAACTGTATTTATTGAACTTACTGTCTTTCTATGAGTTGGAACTTTTAAATGCAGCTCTACTGTAAGTTATTAAATTGCAATATACGAAATTTACAATTCGTTTGATTAAAATGATCAATCTTTCGTAGCAAGTGAGTATATAGTATAATAATACGTCGATTTAGATACATTTCTTTTCGTATTTGAATCTCGTGCTTCTTCGTCTGATCAAATGTTTTGATATTAAATTCGGTTCGGAGCAAATATTTTATGCAATAGATATACTTCTTATATACAAAAAAAACTGCCACAAAATGATATTTCTGAATTATTTGTATTCGCCCATTATTTCAAATATAATTATACTCTATCTTTGTTTCAAGCCTGATTCATCCTACATAAATACCAAATAGAAGCCCATAAATTCTCGATGCTCCATTTCAAATTCTCTTCAACGATCGCATCAGCATCGAGCAAAGCAATGGAATACCCTTTGCAGTCCAATGTCCGAGAACCCCTGTTTCGGCTATTTACCAATATAGTGATTAAATGTTCCATGAAATCACGAGTTCCACGTCATAACATTTTAAGAGTACTCCTCCCTTGGTCACGCGGTGGCCCTCTTTTACCAGGACAACGATGCATGTAGCTTTAATACCAGTGGCCGTGCGAGGTGCGTATAGGTATGCGAGGTGGCACGCGTGAACACGCGTCTCTATACGAAACTTCGACAAGCTTCCAAGTACACTATCGTTCAAAAGTAGACACTCGGTTATTTTCAGTCACAAAGTACAGATAAATCGAATTTTATGATTATCGTACTTACGATTAAAGTGTTTTTAAAAGCCAATATGCAACAATAAAGCCGGTGTTTATAATCGTGAAATCTCGACAAGCTCATTATTTTCAGATTGTTTAGTTGTTGGATTACAAATCAGATCACGAAGGTTCCTCTAAATTGATAGAAATTTTTTTTGATGCGAGCAATGATATATAAATAATAAATATATGTAATAAATAATAAATAATAAAATATATTACTCTCCTGCTGATCTGATCTGTTGATATTATAATAAGATAGCAAGTGATGTTTCTAATTAATGTTAATTCATCATTCATTTGTGCATTTGACCATCGACTGTTACTTTGAATTGAACAAAGTATTCAGATACTTATGAGGGGCAATGTACTTATACACTGCATAGTAGCTGGATTCTCTTTGCCTACTGTTTAATTACAACATACTTAGTTGCACAATTGTCTCTTTTACTCTTTCCACGTTGCTTCTAGCTGGTTGGTCTGTCGCTTCCCTTTGACCGTGTCTCTTCTCTCTTCGGCCAGTATCTCGATACTAAAAATAACGAGGCTGGGACAGGGATCACGGTGTAGGACATTTCTGTTCATTTTTCCCGAGACGGTTCCGCTCCGAGAGAGGCGTAATGGTAATTAGTTTTTCGCGTATGCGCTCGGAACCAGACCGAACTCTGGTACCGTGTTCGTCGTTGGGTCGAGGTTCCTTTTCGAATGGCATCCAAGATGGTCTAATTACCCTGCGTTCGCTTTTCATTTTCGTTTTTTGGAAATCACGCTTTATGCCGTTTCAGATGTAAGATGGATGTATTTTAAATGATACCGGTGGTATTTATTATAATTAATTACAATTTGTTAAATTCTTAAATACAAAAAATAATTGTTCCGCAAGAAAGTTTGGAATTTTATTTGTTAATTTAACAATTTAGCAATTTGAAAATGCGTTAATTTCGCAGATCAGTTATTTTTCATTTTCCTTTTCTTTCGACAGTTATAATTACCAAATTTTCATTGACGTGTATGGTTTCATTTTCCTTTTTATCGTTTCTTTCTTCATCGATCTTTTTACGAATTTCCCGATTTCGCAATATTCTCTTCCCGAGTCTGCTGAAATCACTCGAATCGCGTGCCCAATGTCTTAATATTCTACGTTCGTAGCAAAAGTTGGCGATTTAATATTAGAAGGGATAAAAAAGTTTCGAAAAAGATCGGGAGGATTAGACATTTTTAGATCTGGTTTCCTTTCACAAATTTTTTAACCCTCTTCTCTCTTCACGCCTTTCTTCCTTCGACGAAAGAATGTCTGCGATGGTGGAGTATCGCTTACCCCGTTCACCGGCTCTAAAAGTGACAGAGAGTCAAAACACATCGGGTAAGTTGTTTTGCACTCACCTCCTTTTGCGTAGCGCGCGACAGCTGTATTTATACAAGACACTTCCGGCGAGACTCCAGCATGATAATTTCTTTTCCTTATTTCTGCCTTCTCCTACGCGAACACCAAACAAGAAAAACAATAATTTTGCTGGCACGTGTACACAGAATTGGTCAGCTACTAATCCGGCTCGTCTTTCCCGATCAATGGGTAGAACGTTGATCTGAAACCTGAAATGAAACTTCCGGTTACCATTTATATATGTATCGTGCAAAAAGGAAGGAAAGAGATTTAAGGGAGGATTAATCGAAAACCGAGATGTTACAAACAACTTTATCGAGGGAAACGAGTTTCAACCCTTAAATTCCTATTAACACTAGAACTACCGATAGTTAGCACGAACCTATTTCTACCAAAACCAGCCAAAATGATTGATCTTCAAAAAATACGTGATAATAGAATGTTTTTATTTTTACAGAAGGAATTCCATGTTATGTAGTATATTTTTGGTATTATTAACCCATCTGAGACCATGACCAGCATTAGCATTTAGCGATCTAGCGATCGATGCGGAATTTTCCTGATTACTGATATCAGCATATCGAATGATACGCAATAAAATTTTTAAAAACACGTGGGAAGTTGTACAAAACGAGGAAACTGGTTAATTGGGGTTCGATAAACAGATTGCAGGACTTTTTTACACTTTGACAAGTACCAGTCATTGGTGTAAGTGGCCTTGGTACAAAATTATTTTGAGTTTGAATACATAAAAAACAAAATAAAATTCATTATATTATTCTTTTAGTTATCGTTGCGGAAGTTATTACATCATTGCGGAAAAAGTATAACATGAAGTAGGAATTTTAAAATAAAATTTGACTATAATAAAACCAGTAAATTTGACTGATGTGGTAGTTCTAGTGTAAGAAGATTATGATATAGCGCAAGAAGTTTTGTTCATTTGTATCTCTATCAAAACAAAAACGAGACTCATAGATTTCACGAATTTGTAAGAAATGAATGAAACTAAAAATGCCATCGGTGAATTAATGTTTGAACAAATACTAAATTTCTCATTATAATGCATTAAAATATGTATATGAACTACTAATTTTATTGCACTGCATGTGCCTATGGAAATTGAAGAGTTAATACCGTAGTCTATCGGTAAACAAGATTCAGTGAATTTGAAATGTATACTTTTATTAATTCGGATTTTTATCCATTTATGCGAAAATGTACGGAGCCCATATAACGTGCTAGAATATAAAAAGGTATGAAAAGTAAAGTAGTCGTTATGATATTTTAATGGATAAAACAAATTTTCATCCAAATTTTGCTGTTTTGTTTAATTGCATTTATGAAACCCCACAGCCTGTTTGTTAGGCTTGAAAAATATCATTTTCCTCCTGTTTCCATTATCCTTCAATTAACTGACGAGACGACAATTTTCACAATAATATTGCGATGTTAATGCGAATCCACGAGTGCCAATCGATCGAACGAGAAACACTGTTTTAATTTTCACAACGTTCGCAATTGAATTGATAATTTTGCATTAAATGCCGGGCGCGGTTTAAACGAGAGGAAAATCGCGCGCGCACAGTTTGCGAAGTAGAGCGATAATTCAACTCAGATTCAACTATAAATAATTATTGCCTGGCTCGTGATAATTTCCCGTTAATTTAACTACGCTTTTTCTGTCGTTCGTTCGTGTTAAATACGGATGCCACGGGCAAGTACTCGAGCCACATAAATGACAGCGTTGATTAAAACGTATGTACACAGAAACGAATTGAAGTTACTATTCGTTTTATCTTCGCGCGCGATTAAGCTGTTCGCATAAGTATCTCCTCTGCGCGATACTTCGAAACAACACAATTAGTATAATGAGTTAGTACTAGTCCTCTAATTTACAAATCCCCCAGTTTCCTACTTCACTAATCCCGCGTCCTCGCATTTCGTGAATTCTCGACTCGTCAAATATTTCACTTTTCCTGCTTCTTTGCCTTTATATATTATAATTTCATCTCGTTTCTTCAAACGTTTCTCTTTTGCATTGGTCTATGTTATAAACATGTCTAACACTCTTGACGATTCTTTATTTTATGATTTTATTGATTGTCTATGTTAACTCAATTCACGGTTCCAAGGATCTATAAATTTCCGGCTGTCTAGTATTCTATTTCTTAAACTGTCCAATTTCCTCTATTAATTTAATTTTCAACCCGGCCGATTTCTAAATTTCTATAACACACGACGAACACTGTAATCTTTTGTATTTAAAGAATTTCTGCTTTCTAGTGTGCAATTATACCACTCTTTAAATCTATATTACAGAAATTTGAGAAAATATTATATAAATAACGATCAAGGTGTCTAGGAGTGACTTCCAGCGAAATAAATGCATGATTTTCTAGCAAATAACTCGCACCTGGTTTAGCTGACGAAATGATCTAGCCAACACACGGTTTGCCAACTTCGATATCAATCTTATTACGCGTCCCTACTTAACTTTCAAATTTGTCTGCTTCTTTAGCTACATCCTGCTTAATATATCCGTTAATCCCGCTGTACGTTGAACAAGGAAAACAAATGTTCGCGAGTATCCGGAAACGTGGTCGATTTGTAGTTGTTGGATATCGTTGACTGACGATACGTAAGATTGTCCAGCAGACACTGTGATTATTTAACCAAAAACAAAATCTTGTTTAGTCTCGGATATATATATATATATATTTTTTTTTTTTTGCACTAAATCATGATTTTACGAAATTCGATCTTTTACAATATGTACTACTGCCCTCAAAACTTCCAACTATTAATTACGATCAATTAAACTGCAATTCAATTATCATATGCGTGTGTTAACGTTTGAGTTAAATTTCGCTCGTTTCAATCGGTTTGCCAGTAAATCTTCGTAGGGGCTTGCTCGATCGATATTGCTATATATCACAGCGAATGAGTAGGTGTGGAGGGTCGAAATGTCGTTAGATTATACCAAAGATGTTTATTGGACGTGGGCCAACCTTCGAGATTCTCAGTCGCTTCCTGCGCAGATCGCAACGGTGCGATGCCAACAGTCAACGTGACGATGAGACAAGTGTGAAAGCTCGACCGTTTTGCGGCCTCTATCGCTTGAAGTACCAAAAATTCGCCAAGCGTACAACACGCCCGACCAGAACCCGACATTTCGTAGCTCTATTCTTTCAATCTTACTGAGCTTCCGTATTTGTTTAGTTCCTGTTCGAAAATTTCACCAGGCAATTTCCATTATGTTTCCTTACTTATTAGAGTCTTAGACTTAGGAAATGAACACTTTATAACCGACTCTCCTTCTTAGTTTCCCACTTTTCGATCTTTCCACTATTGGTAGCTTGTATAGGATAATGGCACGAGCGCGAAAATTATTGCTTACGACAGATACGATGAGCGTTGTCATCGAGCAGCTACAGATACCAATCTAGGTAATCAAAGGGTTTCGTTTTGGAATTATCGCGTGACATGTTCTTCTCTCTTATTAAACACGACATAGTACGACGCCAGAATAATTTACTTATAATTCTCAATGAGAATTGATTGTAAAATACATCGAAATAAAAAAAAATTATTCCTCTCGATAAATCTACCTATTCCTTTGTTCAATCAAATCTTTCTCGATCACTTTTGTTGTTAAACTAGGAATTTTTATGACTTCCGGAGAAATTTCGAGATGCGAAAACGCACGCAACGCATGTAATATGCAAAGATATAAAAAATATTTAAAATAGAGTGTTGATTATAATATTTAGCACGTGAAATAAAATTTCTATAGTTACGTCCATAAAAATATAAAAGTGTATAAAAATCCTCGATCTGTCAGACATAACCATAACACCATCTCGTAACAGTTTTAAACGTCAAAATAAATTATTTCTACCATACTCTACGCCAACTTTATATCCTTTCCCTCTAGAAATATCGTTTTGTATCTTTCTGACTTTCAGCCGATGCCCAACGATCCCTCAAGACTGTTTGACGAGGAATTTTTCCTTTTGGTTGCCAAACAGCGGAATCCAAGACACATCAGCCCCATTGGAGCATGTACGTGCGGACGAGCGAACAGACGGAGTTGTTAATTAATATCGCTATAAATTAAAATGTATTATGCAAGTTAGGCGGTCTCGTCCGCAGGCTCTTCGGGACTCGCGGAGTCTCGGCTGCGGCCGTGCTCGAGGAACCGAGTTTTACGCGGTGTGCGAGCTTCCACGGGCGAAGGGAGGACGATGGAAAGGGCGAACGAGCGGAGGCTGAGGCAACGGGACGCGGAAGAGGGCGGCGCGGCGCGGCGTGGCAACTGGCGGGCAAACAACAAGAGGTTTTCGTAGCAGGCTAACGGCAGAGTTTCCTCATAAACTCTTAGGGAAGTTCGCAGACAAACACAGAAATATTTTGTAATGGAAACACGTCCCTGAGAAATTAAATATCGCAATGAAGAAGATGAAGTTGCGTTTGTAGCCGAGTGCTACGAGGAGACGACTGTCGGCGAATCCAGAAGCGTATTACGTGCGACGAACAGTCATTAATTGCTACCGTTTTCGAACGTCGTGAATGTCAGTCAGCTGATCTTATTCTCTTTCAATCTATTGGATTGGCAACTAAGTGATTGCGGATTTTGTCAATACCACCTAATGATAAAATCCGCAATCACTTAGTTGCCAACCCTATAGATAGAAAGTCATCGCGTTGCTCATTCGTCCAAAGTATGGAGGATCTGTGTTATTCATATTCGACTCCATTTCACTGTGTAAATCTTTGATATTATGAGAAATTGAATTTGCATTATTTGCTTCAAATTCAAGGAAGTGATCGTTAAAGAAAGATACGTTTCAAATTTGCTATGAATTATAAAAAAAATTTGTAAATTCGCAAAACTTAAATCTCTTGTGTCTGTCAAATCATTTTTTAATCTAATCTTGTCTTCTTATCGTTAAAAACCTTCTTAAGTTTCGGGTGGTTTCTTGTTCGAATTTACAAAATTTGAATATAAAGATTCAAGGACCTTGGTGGAACCGGAAGTCTAGCAAATACAAGACAAAGTAGATCCACTGTCAAGACCGAATATTGCAAACAGAATGTCACGCGAAATAATATTAACTCACACGTAATACGTATTAACAATAATGATTGCCCGAAATTCCTGAAGCATCTGGTCACGCGTTCGAGGAACATTCGCGCTATTAATCGT